CACACACACACACACACACACACACACACACACACACACACACACACACACACACACAGCGTGACCCGACACACACGATGAGTGTCAGCGAACAAATGTTCACAGGGCAGCAGGAGGAAGGCTGTGATGATGAGGATGATGATGGTAGCAACTCAGAGACAGAAGAGCTGCTTCACAGACAAACAAAGAGCCGCAGTGCCGTCGAGCAAGGCACCAAACCCTGGTTCTGATCAAGTCCCTCAGCTGAGGAGAGACCAGAGTGTGTTCATGAACAGCCTGAGGAGACAACTGACAGATTTAATTAAAGCTGTAACAGACGAGAGTTCACCATCTGAAGACATCGGTGCTAACACGATCAGAGACAACAAACCAGATATTTATTGATTCTTCAGGCTGAGAGACGAGACACTCCGCAGCCGCGTACTGTGTCTATAAAGTGTCCAAAATACATCAAACCAGGGACAAATAATGTCCAAACACAGACCGAATAATGTTCAAACCAGGATCAAATAATGTCCAAACCAGGGACAAATAATGTCCATACCAGGATCAAATAATGTCCAAACCAGGATCAAATAATGTCCAAACCAGGATCAAATAATGTCCAAACCAGGATCAAATAATGTCCATACCAGGATCAAATAATGTCCATACCAGGATCAAATAATATCCAAACCAGGATCAAATAATATCCAAACCAGGATCAAATCATGTCCAAACCAGGGCCAAATCATATCCAAACCAAGGCCAAATAATATCCAAACACAGACCAAATAATATCCAAACCAGGATCAAATAATGTCTAAACCAGGGCCAAATAATATCCAAACACAGACCAAATAATATCCAAAACACAGACCAAATAATGTCCAAACACAGACCAAATAATGTCTAAACCAGGAACAAATAATGTCCAAACCAGGATCAAATAATGTCTAAACCAGGGCCAAATAATATCCAAACACAGACCAAATAATATCCAAAACACAGACCAAATAATGTCCAAACAC